GTAACTATACAAAAACTCTCTTCTGCTAATCTTGCCTAAACCTAAATCATAATCTCCACAAATGCAATCTAAAAAACGTTATTGATTGCATGTTGGTAGAGCTAAATGATAGATTTTCATCGAAAACATTATCATTGATGAAAAGTATCTCCACCGTTTATCCAAATAGTACCAATTTTCTTAATATTGATGCTATCGATGAATTTTGCTTTCATATTGGTGGAGATTCGAGTGCACTCAAAAATGAATTTCTTGTTATTAAACCCATGCTTCAATCGAAAAAAGTCAATAATGTTATTGAATTGTATAATGAATTAATTTCAATGTCAGATGCGTTTCCCCAAACGTTAAAAATGATAACCAATGCCATAACTATGCCAATTTCACAAGTAACTTGTGAGGGATCTTTTTCAAAGATGAAAATAATTAAGAATTATCTTCGAAATTCAATGACAAATGAACGTTTAAGTGATTTAACAGTAATGGCTATTGAGCGGGATTTTGAGATAAATTATGAACGCGTAATTGATAAATTTTCGAGCAATCATAAAAATTCTAGAATTTTATTGCTTTAAGTTGTATACGTGTATTAAGATATTGTCAATAAATATAAAGTAGCTGATCTTTTTAAACGTGAATTCGCATGTTTAGATTCTTTATTCAGATTAAAAAGCACTCTTAGATAGTATAATGGATTCGAAAGACTTGCACTGTATTATATGAAACTTTCATAGGTTGGGGCTGAGCCCCCTCAGTTCGAAATTCCTGGCGCCGCCGCTACATTAAAGTTTAAAACAGTCACCTTTACAAATCTTTATATATTCATCTTCGCTGTCCAAATGATGTCATTTCATTACTATTTAAACAAATATACAGTATATAAAATTAAGACAATCAAATTTCAATAGTTTCTCAATTATTTTTAACATTGATCATCTCTTCATGAAAAACATTATTTGGAAATGTTTGACGACGTTTTTCTATAATATAAACACATGAAAAAGGATAATCGAGTAACGTATCTTGATCATAAGTAAGTTTTAGATCCGATAAATTTTGCATGCTACTAAGAAATGCTTCAATAATGCATATCCAACCATCAAATGAGTACACTTGTAGTTCAATATGAATCAGCGCTGGCAAACGTTGAGGGTGTGGGTGTTAGTGTAAGTGCACTGAATTCCGGAACCGTTGAGAATTAGGCGGAATCCGTTTAAATTCCGTGTAATTCCGGAATTGAATCGGAAGGGATAAACGGAATTCCGGGAATCAGATGGAGTTGATCGGCAGTGATTCCGGGAATTCTGGAATTGTGTTGGAAGTGATAAACAAAATTTCGGGAATCAGATGGAATTGGTTCCGTGAGCGGAACTGGTTCCGGAATGTTCACCATTGCGGAATAGGATGTATTCTCTTTGTAGGTTTGATTCTAGCTTATTGTCTGCCTGTTATCCCATGAAAACACGAAACGCAAAGTTGATGCGTTGAAATGCGGTTTGATATGAAACGCTTTAATACGCAGTTAAAAAATTATTTTACTTCGAAAACAGTACATGTTATTGAAATAAAGTATTTAAGCGATGAAATTTTCATTCATATATATTTTATTTTAAACGAGACAAAACTTTGAGCTATATAGCAAAGTGGTGTATGTAAAAGACTTCTGATTACTGATTCATCTGCTCAAATCTAATCGTCATCGCGTTTCAGACGCGCTTTTATGTTAAAAAATTCACATGGAATGCTTCCCAGATCGAGCATTACGGCTACCAGAAACTGTCGTATACGGCCGTAAACGTTAACATATACTGCCGTTTCCTGCCGTTTCTCATCGTAAATGACCATAACTTGACGGTTTGATATGCACCGTATTACGGTCGTAATTAATCGCGTCGTAAGCGGTTACTAACGACCGTAATGTGGTCGGATATTTCCGTGCCTGACCGTATACGATCGTTTATGGCACGATACAAAACGACCGTAATACGGTGCATACCAAACGGCCGTAAATTATGGTCAAACAGCCGTGTACGACACAAGCTGATCGACCTGGGTTCTTACAGAATTAGCCCATCGAAACAGAATTCGGCTAGGATGTGAGCGTGGGTGGGGTGTATCAATATAATATTACCAAGTCCGCCAGTAGCCCACAACCTGTGCCTATTACATTCATCCATACCCAACCATATCAGTAATGACGAAATGCAGAGGATGAAACATGTGGGTACGCGTAGATGCTAATGGCCACATCGACTAAACGCGAATCCCGATCCTCACCATTCAAAGATATTATTTCTATCATGAAATTGAATAGAAATTTGAATATAGCAATATTGAAAGCTAACGCTGAGGATGCTAAGGACGTTTGTCATGAAGTGGCTATCATCAAGAACAATACTAACGTAACAACAAGAACAATGAAAGTATTACACATAAGGTACACATGTGATTCAAACCGGGAAAAAACCGGCGGTATACCGCCGGTTTTTTATAAAAGTGATGCATCCTTTTGTATAGTATAGAAACGACTGAATATTTTTTGCGTCAGTTAAAACGGGCAGAATCGTGTTGAATGCGGGGCACTCTGATAATGTCGATGTGCCTGAGCCACTTTTAGTAGCCACAGATCTAAAATCAGTCCCACTTATGAGATAAATATTTTGTTAAAGATGTCGCTATAAAAATAATAATTCGCAAAATATATGCTAATATAGTTTTGTTTTCAATTACTTCGAATTCTTTTTCCGAAATAAATCGGGACTTGACAAAAAATATGCGACATGGGTACAAACAGAAACACGATCGAAAATAACAAGGTTATTGATGGGCAATTGCTGAGCAGCGGTGAAATAAAGCCTCTATATGAATGCATAAACAAGTCTGAGAATCGACCAAACAATAAAAACAGCAACACGAATACACAAAAGACGTAGATAAGGCAAAACATTCTTGCCAACGGCATAATCACGAAAATAAATGAATCACTCCTTATCTGTGCTCATTCTGTTCTTCTGTAGATATGAGACATTGCTGGATAAATATGAAATGCTGCGAACAACAACAAACTATCAAAGTATCATGTATTGATTTAAAATTTTGTTATTTTGAATCATTTAAACAAATTGTTCAGTGGCACTTGATACTATTTTTTAATATCAAAATGCCTGATATTATGATAGATATAAACCCACTCACAGTTTTCAATGATTAACTAGCTGAAAGCTTATTCAAATAGAAAAGCAATAAAAGAAAAAGGACAAAGAGAAGTGCATGGTAAAAATGAATTATCAGATTCTTCGAAAACTTATCAATGAGTCAAAGAATACACAGACATATATATATATATATATATATAAGGCAAACGAAGTCATTTATACAACATAATTTGAATTTTTCTTTGCATATTTACAAAGCTTTCACCGATATTATTCGTTGAATAATTAGACTATAGTAAGTAAATGATTAAGATAATTTGCAGCAGAAACTCGAGTGTTTGGACACTTATAGCATATATTGTCTCAATATGAACCCTAATATTTGAGCTGGTATAGAATAAAAGCTGATGATCAGTGTTACTTTACTCAATGGATTAGTCTATGCATATGAATGGATAGCAATTCGATTGATTAACCTTTTCACATATGTGCTTTATATTTTCTGGAAAATATGAAAAATTTTCTCTTTCCAGAACTCCAAAATTCTACAAGATTTTTATTGCAAGTAGTTAGATTGATCTCATCTTTGTCAGAATATCTTCAGTCTTAGTAGATCCTTATATTTGGCAATGTAGAAATTTAAAAAAAGTTCAAGTAAAAATATTTTTCCAATGCATCCTAGTACAAATTTTAACTTGGAACAAGTTCACATCTAACACAATAATATCGTTTCTTCGTTTCCAACATTTGAAAAATTGAACTTGGAATTCTATTTTAAAATTGCATATACACTCAGGTTGAAGATTCCGGCCACCGGATCTCGCTAGAATATGGAAGCAGTATTCCGGTGGATTCCTATCGAAGCCGGTCTATATTTTTCGACTTGGCTATATATGCATTTCGATGATCTAAAAAATCGTTTTAATATTTTATTAGAGTAATGGATCCTTTTATTATTCGTGGAACTTCGTCCACAATAACTCAACGTCGAGCTCAACCCGTTTCACAGCAGTCTCACTCAAATAGTATGTCGCGTAGAAGTTTTTCAACAGCATCGCCATCTAAAGAAGGGAAAGATATGATTGGTACACTCTCCACACAAAAACAATCATTAAAGCTATCATCGAAAAAATCATTGACTTTGCCAGAATTAAGACAAGTTTTAGAAGCATGGAAAGAGCCTGAAACTTTTGCAGACGTTATGGAGGCAAAGGAAAGAATCGTGGATTGCTTTAAACAACGCTTAGATAATTTGAATTTATCGTTTCTTTATATAAGTACTCTTCCTGATGTTTTTGACGGAATGCAACATGTACATTATTTATCGATCGACAACAATTATTTTTCAGAAATACCACGGTTTTTAACTAAGTTAACTTCCTTAAAACGATTAACTATTTCCAACAATGTGCTATCCGAAGTGCCTGATTTTATCAAGGAATTCAAACAATTGGAATTCTTCAATGCCGAAAGTAATCAACTTGAAAAGGTTTCTGAAGAATTGGGACGTTTGTCAAAGCTTCGAACGCTAATGTTGGCTCATAATCGTATTATGAAATTTCCTCAAAATATCCATCGCATTAAAAATCTTGAACTAGAAGATCAAATTCCACTGGCACGTTTTGGCGACCTTTCTCCTGAATTTGAAGCACGATGGAAAGAAACTTTTCAACATGAAGTGGCATCAGGCTACTTCGAGATTTGGATGGCACGTTATGAAGAAATGCTCAGACTACCAACGGCTGAAAAATATCGCCAAATGTTTAAAGAGCGTATGAGTAGGTTGCTGAATGCGATGGTGAACAGTGCGGATTTTCGTAAATTGTGTTTTGACAAAGCAACTAGTGTTATTCAAACGTCTCACGACGGTATTTTATTTTCCCTATTCGAATTGGAAGTCCAACTAGTTGAACAACAAATAATGGAATTACAATTACCTGATGAGGATGTTCGCCAGGAAGTTGAGCGAGCCTTTAATTTTTATCGCTTACAAGAACTTGCTATATTACGCGCACAAAAAGGTTCGTATGAAAACAATGCGACTGCAGAGGAAGAAGTAGTCGATGCACAAGAAACGGTGTTGTTTTATTACATCTCTCCTGCAAACACTTTGGAAATGCCATTGAATTGCGAAACACCACGTTTTATGTATCAACCAGACTCGGCTCTAGCAGATCATCATGATGTAAGAAAAGCGGTCGAAGAAATTCGACGAGAAAAAGAAGAACGTGGCCCAGATTATCTGATTGATTTTGTTTTGGATAAGGACTATTGGATTAATTATTTATCGAGACGTTACGCAAGTTTTATCACGGAACACACACAAGTTTTTGTGGATGAGATGGAAGAAATAGAAGAAAAAAAAGACACGCTTAATGAATATGATTATCTCACGAAAATGAATGCTTTAGTCACTGATAAGAATCAATCAGAACAAAAATTATATTATCAGCTGACTAAGAATATTGTTGCAGATTGATTATGAATAAAGTTCGATAGGAAAAAAGCTTGTTAGCGCAGCCCCTTTTAGGATAAAGTGTGAAACTCACATATATCCCTTAACCTTACTAATATAATTCAAAATAACTCTAATGAAAAATCTACCTTAATGTCAAAATCTATAATCAGGCCATTAGATATTTGCTTATGTTTATAATGAAGGGTTAATTGTTAGCTGGTATCTCTAGCGATGGGAGAGACTAGCTGCCATGTTCTGCAATGGATAGGTCTTGCTTTTCTCGTATAGTCTGTAATCAGAAAAAGAGGAAATCTTCTTCGACGAATAGAAAATTTTACATCAGAATCAGCATAAAAAGTTGTTCTCAATAGCGAGTTTTGCAAAATGATGGCAAGTAATGTTCTAACTCAAATAGAACTGAAAATGAGTTATCTTGCATTTTTGTTTTTAAAAAATTAGACTTTTTAGATAGCAGAATCAATAGCTAAAAGTGAAATTTGTTCATCAAAAGATTATTGAAAACTTTTTGCTTTCTTTGATAGAAAGATAAGTTGAAAAAACCAATATTCTTCGATCAAGAGACTCAAAAGCGGTGTTTTCTTTTCACTACATGACGGTCATCCATACAAAAACGTTTTTCTCTGTTTTTAGAAATTATGTTCTTGAATTTATTCCTTTCTTAACCCAACGAAAAGAAGACGAAGAAATATCATGGATCTAAAAGTGATTTTTGGCGTACGAACGGAATTGTTTTTATTTTCTCTCACGCACATCCCAAATAACATCCGATTATGAAATCTAGTTTATACTAAAAACAAGCATCTACGACATTTATACCAGAAACCGTCACATGGCAGTCCTGCCCTGCCCTGCGCCCTGATAATTTTTCCTATAAACTGATATACAGCAGATTTTTCAGTCGATTATGCTGACATGGTGATGGATTATAATGTATGTCATTATGCGCCAGTCACTGTGAAAGTTGTTACTATGCCTAGTTCGGACAATACCAGTGTACTCATTTATTATCATATAATTCAATTATAAAAATAAAATACTGCTTCAAAGAGAAATGCAAAACATGGTAGAATCATTTAATATTGTATAAGAGAACGAGCTAATTTAAGAATTATGTGTATGATGAGGTTTTTTTCTGAATGATTTCAGACATGAGCTTAGTGTTCCAGAAGAAATTTCACTTAAAAATTCAACATGTTCTAATGGTAAATTTCTTCGCATGTTTTAGTTTTGTATGCTTAGTTCTCTATGTTTTAAATTATTTTCACTTGATATGAACTCGTCCGTTTCTACAAAATTAGAAAATCTCTTGTTTCATGATAAATCTTACCACCCCATAATACACAATGAATCTCTTGCTACTGGTACATTTTGAAGAGTCTTTATTTATCCAGCACGATGAGTTGATGAGAATAAATGTGAAAGATTTACTTGATTTCTCACTTATTCAAATTATATACATATTCAATTTGCCAGATCATGATAAGCGCATTATTTTTGCAGTGAACTGATTTTTGTGATAATCTTAATTGCTGTTTGCTACTCATATTTAATTATGTTTTAAGCGCATATCTATATTTTATCGAATATAGATAAATAAAATATGAGTACTTTACTTTTCAGCGGTCACAACACTTTCATTTAGTCTTTACCTTTTTCAATATTTCAGTTGAATTTATAATCATGCCCTGCCCTGCCCTGAGACAGAGTAGGGTAGGATATAGCAGGGCGCCGGGCAGGGTAGGGCACGACATGGCAGGGCACAGGGCAGGGCACGGCAAAAAAAGTTGCCCTGTGACGGTCTCTGATTTATACACATCGAATATATTTAAATATATGACTAGACTTTTTTATTTCATTCATATAATATAATAGAAAAAACACAGAAGTTTTTGTGCAATGAAAAAGTTACTTTTTCAATAATATAGATTTACAAAGATGAGAAAAATGATGACTTGTTTTCTGTTGACAACAATCATTTTTAATTGATTTTTGGGTCTCTTTTTCTTTGCCGGCATATTTTCGATTTGATTGGTTGTTTGTTCGGCGAGTTTTCTTCATCGATTTTTTTCGACACAAACCAGAAGTTTTCTTTGAATATTGTGATTTTGGTCGCTTTTCCTGCTCTTTCTTTCCTACTAATTTTAACAAAACATCAAGAAAGTATGTTCGAATGACATTGATAATTTTGTTTGCAAATAATTGCACACGATTTGTGTTAGTTTTGACTTGTATCATTAGAATTAATGCTAATATCAAACTGTTTGAAATGCCTGACCATCTTAATAGTTTTTATATAGTTCGTTTTTTATGCGTAATTATTCATACAAAAAAATGTATGACGTATATTAAGAATTATGCGTCATTACAGTTTGTCTCAATATCATAGATCCAGTATATTCAAATTATCATTGACGTAACGATTCATATCGTGTAATAAATATACACTGATGACATCATGTGGTCACGCATGCCTGATATTTATGTTTGAAAATACTATACATTTTTGTAACTTATTCTTCTGCGCGCACATTTAGCGAGGCACCAAATTTTCTTTTTCCTCTCGTATGAGGACGTATCTTTTTTTCTATATGCTCCCCTTTGACGGTTCGATATAATGTGGGCTGTGCCATTAATATGTCAACTGTACTTTCGTTCTTTAACAGCATGATCAGAGTGCGAACTTACTCACAACTAGCCCTGCAATTCTAAGAATAAATGTAAATTGCTCTGAGCAGCAAATGGACAAACAAAGATATGTAAATGAATTCTTTACTTTCAAAAAAGAAAAGAATAAAGCAAGAATCTTTTCGTTGATAGGTAAATAGACTAATAACTATAGTGTTACTTGAGGGTGTGTCTGTGAATGTGTTCTCTAAGAATGGTCACTCACACCCACACCCACCCTTTTAGTCTGAACTATCACAGCGACATTTAGCGACAGCGCCAGGAGTTTTTAGTAAGGTGCATTTATCTCCCTTCCACCTTAAATTTTCGAAATTCGAAACATATTCGAAGATAGTTCGAATGTTTGGATCTTGTACGTGGGTGTAGATATGAATATTCTGTACGTTAATGCCATTACTCACAGACACAGCCTAGGCAGCAATTATAGATATCAGTGGAATGTTTCACTTCAATTCGCTATGTTATTTTAGACACATAGCGTTGACAAAAACGATTCATTCAAATTCGTGAATTTTTTGGCCTTTTCGTGAAAACACAATAAAAAAATCAATGATTTGTAGCAAACATAATTAACTAGCTGTTTGTATCACAATTGTATATTGTTTACGTGCAATGACTCACAAAATTTTCCGGGCATGACATCTATTAAATGAAATAGTATGATATATTTATTTTTATGAACAAAGAGCAGACATTCAACAAACATAAGCTTGATATAGAGGTTAATTGTAATTAAGTTTATGAATAAAAGTAGATTGTCGTCAATTTATTGTTGTTCGTGATTGTGCCAGCATCTTCCATATCTTTGTCGCATGAAATTCTCGTAAAAAGAATTTCGACGGTTGAACATAAAGATGAAAGCTTAAGCATTGTGGTACGTAAGCAGCGAAATACGATATGATAAGCATATAGCGTTGCCATTTTGTATCAAGATCGTTACAGGCCAATGAGAAAGAAATAATGAGATGAGGTAAAGCACTGATAATGTGTATCATTGATGGAATGAACATTTCCTTTTTTTTCTTGAATTGTTCCTGAAATATTTTCCAACGAGATTTATTTCTGTCTATATTTGCACGAGTGCGAGTAATAAGAATCATAAGTGCGATTGTAAAAATGAGATTCACCAGAAATGGAGTTAAATAATGAATCATTGTATTTGTTTGATTATAGATTTGAAGAGGCCGACTCAGTTGTGTTACACACCATTTTCCTATATCATATATCAAAAATAATTATTCAACAGAAAATGATGAATTACCGTTTGCCGTGTATTTGGGATCATCCACAATGTTGTACTTAACCAATTCGTGTACATGTGA